TGTACACTTTAAAAAATCCTCATTCTCATTTTGTTAAAGTCCTGTATGAAATGGAACATTTTTAATTAATATTTTTGAACCCAGCATCATCAAATTAGGTGATATTAGGCCTTTTTTTCAAGATGCAGGGCTGCGTTATCAATAATATTGTATCTATAAGTTAAATTAAATTTGCATGTCTTGAGAAATGCAAAAGATGCCTGTTTTTGTTATGGAGCAGAAAGTTTGATTTGATTAGTTTCTGATTAAACTGATTTTGTGATATAGTGCTGTGGTCGGTTACATTATGATTGCTTCCTGTATGGCATCACTTCTCATTTCCTGTCATTCAGGTGGTGGTGAATGCACTGATCGGGGCCATCCCGTCCATCATGAACGTACTGCTGGTGTGCCTGATCTTCTGGCTCATATTTAGCATCATGGGTGTCAATCTGTTCGCTGGGAAATTCGGGAAATGTGTCAACAGGACAGGATACATTCACAGTGTAACCCTGGTCAACAACAAGAGTGACTGCCAGGCCATGAATGACACCCAGTTCTACTGGACCAAAGTGAAAGTCAACTTCGATAATGTGGGCCTTGGATACCTCTCACTTCTGCAGGTGGTGAGTGTCTCGAGGGTTGTACGCCACTCAGAATTGCACTGAGAATGATTTTACAGAGCTGCCAAACAGGATTCAGAATTGTAATTCAAATTTTGTGCTGTGCAGAAAATCCTTTACCTAATTTGGTGTTCCTGGTCAAAAATGACTGGCCTTTTTAAATATTGTTTGTAAATCTGTTATTATGCTATATTATCACCAAATCTTGGCTATACTGTTTTGTCAAAATGAAAAAAGTACTGTTTGTGGATAATTTTGGCAATGCTCACCCAAAAACTGAGGTGCGTAAGCTCAGATCAATGAGGCCTAGAATCAATCAGGTCCAAAAAGAAATACAAAAACTGCACTAATTGAAAGAAAACATGTTGACAAAAGACTTCATTCAACATTTGCTAACAATATAGCATAGCAATACATTTATAAGCAATTTTTGTAGGCTGGTCACACCACAAGTCTAACAAGGTAAGAAAAAAAAAATCAAAATGACCGGAACACAAAATGAACTAAAATTTAAGGCTGCTGTAAGTATAGTTTTAAATACATTCACATTTTTTTTTTAGTATGAATTACTCATTCACATATCATACACAAAGCATATGGGATAGAAACATTTGTACAACTTATTTTTACGTCAATATTTTTTATAAATATCAATTTAAATTTGATATTCAGTATAACGTTTTTATAAATTTTTTAATTTTTAAATTAAAAGAGGCATGGGGCAGAAATGCTCCCCAAATTCAAGAGAAAAGAGCAAAAAATGCCCCCTCACAATTAAACTAACTATATTATGGCTGTCGCAATTAAAGTGAAATGTATTGAAGTTATTGGTTACATTTAAGTATTTAACTTAAAAGACAGCAGATATATTTAATAAGGGAATTATAAAAATTGCCCTTGCAAAGGGAAAAAAAATAAATTCCAGGAGGAATATATTGCCACTTAATGGAAAAGCTCATTTCTGATCCTGTTCCATTCCAATTCCAATTCATACTCATTCGTGGAAAGGGAGACAATTCTGAATTATTGCCATCTTGAACATTTCAGTCCAAGAAGGACTTTTAGTGACTGTGCTGTAGAATCATCCCTAATATTTGTTAAGGTAGCCAAGCAACCAGAGTTCTTCAGGGGCCTGCAACTCCTTGCAGGGATTTAACCTATCCTTTACCTCTAGGAACAGTCTCTCAATCACCACAGGTTATAATTTCTGGAACCATGGCAACAGCATCCAAAAATGGACTATCTTAATAGTGTTCATGCTGACTCTTGGTGAGTCACAAGTCTTTGTATTTACAGAAGGTATGAAACTTAAATGCGTAATTACCTCAGACTAAAAAGCCACGTTTCGCTATGGTCAGGCATGGAAAAAAATGTGCTCACCTAGAAGCAGAACATATATTTGAATAAATTGACAATCTTTCTCTTTTAGAGGGACATTAAAGCATTTGTATTTTGTTTTGCAGGCAACATTCAAAGGCTGGATGGAAATCATATATGCCGCCGTTGATTCCCGTGGAGTAAGCATGTTCTTTTCATTACTAAAATGAATGACTTGCAACCAAATTCACAAAATAAGAATCTAACTATAGACTACAAACTATACATATAATTCTTTCATCCTCATTTAGTCTTAAAAATAATTGTTTCAATTAAAAGAGGGTTCTTTAGAAAACCATCTATCCTTTGCCAAGAAAACCATTTGAAGAACCTAGAATTTTAAACTTTTCTATCCTTCAAAGAACCAATTAGTAACGCAATTACCCAATGCTAGAAAAATCTTTCTTGATAAGAACAGGGTTAACCTAAGGTGCTGCAAAGAACCTTTGAAGAACCTTCATTTTAGAAGTGTAGACAATCTGTGGAAAACCATCGTTGTGAGTCCTCTAAGTTTTATATTGTTCTTGTTTGTCAGGTTGAGGAGCAGCCCGTCAAAGAGATAAACCTCTACATGTACCTCTACTTTGTAATTTTCATCATCTTCGGATCCTTCTTTACCTTAAATCTGTTCATCGGTGTCATCATCGATAACTTCAATCAGCAGAAAAGAATGATAGGTGTTTAAGATTTACTTCTTTTCCAGAAGCATTAGTTTACATTTAATCTGTTCCATGAAAATAATAACAGCTGGTTTTTCTTTGTACTAAAGGTTGCCAGGATATATTCATGACCGAAGAACAGAAAAAGTACTACAACGCTATGAAGAAACTTGGTTCGAAAAAGCCACAGAAGCCAATTCCAAGACCAGTGGTGAGATTATGATTTGTAACATTGTTGCAACTTTAAAAATCCTTAAATGTTCTCATACCGATTTCCCTTTCTAATTTCTCACCATAAACACATTTCCATCTAGAACATTTTACAAGGATTCTTTTTCGACTTGGTGTCCAAGCAAGCCTTTGACATTACCATCATGATGCTCATTATTCTCAACATGATAACCATGATGGTCGAGACCGATGAACAATCTGCTCGCATGGAGACCGTCCTCAATAACATCAACCTGGCCTTCATTGTCATCTTTACCACTGAATGCCTCATCAAGATATTTGCCCTCCGCTGTTATTTCTTCACCATTAGTTGGAACATATTTGACTTTGTAGTCGTGATTCTGTCCATCGTTGGTAAGTGCACGACATTCCAGTCTGGTAAGTGGTACGTGTGTTGCTGATTCAAGATACTTCCATGCTGAAAATACCAACTTGGTTTATACTGTTTAGCTCTTTGGTACTGATCCATCTGGTCACCATTATGGTGAAGCCAAAGAAGGATTGCTGATTTGGTTAAGTTAGTTAAGAAACATTGCAGAAACACCGGCTTGTCTTTTCAACTGGGTTGTTGTGATCTGAGATGTTCATAGTGCCATTTCTCAATTTTCTTCATGAGTCCATCTTCTATGTGTTGATATCTGGTTTTAATTTGTCCTTCCTCATAGGAATTGTCCTTGCTGACATAATAGAAAAATACTTTGTGTCCCCAACTCTGTTTCGAGTGATCCGGCTGGCAAGAATAGGACGAGTTCTCAGACTAATACGAGCAGCTAAAGGAATAAGGACGTTACTTTTTGCCTTAATGATGTCGCTGCCAGCTTTGTTCAACATTGGCCTCCTGCTCTTCCTGGTCATGTTCATCTATGCCATTTTTGGCATGGCAAACTTCGCCTACGTAAAGAAGCAGGGCGGGATTGACGACATGTTCAACTTTGAAACCTTCGGGAACAGTATGATCTGCCTTTTCCAGATCACCACATCGGCCGGTTGGGATAACCTACTGGATCCCATTCTCAACAACTCTCCGGAAGAATGCAGCTCGAGTTACATCAACACCGGAACCAACACTAAGGGTAACTGTGGCAACCCCTCGGTAGGGATCACTTTCTTCGTCAGTTACATCATCATTTCCTTCTTGATCGTGGTCAACATGTACATAGCCATCATTCTGGAAAACTTCAGCGTGGCCACCGAGGAGAGCACTGAACCTCTGAGCGAGGATGACTTTGAGATGTTCTATGAGGTATGGGAGAAGTTTGACGTTGAGGCCACACACTTCATAGAGTACTCCAAACTCTCGAGTTTTGCCAACAACCTTTCCGAACCTCTGAGGATCGCCAAACCCAACAGAATCAAACTCATCAACATGGATCTACCCATGGTCAGCGGCGACAGGATCCACTGCTTGGACATCCTGTTCGCCTTCACTAAGCGGGTCCTCGGGGAGACTGGAGAAATGGACGCTTTGAAGCAGCAAATGGAGGAGAAGTTCATGATGACGAACACTTCCAAGATCTCCCACGAGCCCATCACCACCACACTGCGGCGCAAGCAGGAGGAGATTTCGGCATCCCTGATCCAGCGTGCCTACAGGCGGCACCTGGTTAGACGGCAAATGAAGCAGGCTTCTTACCTGTACAGGCACATAAAACAAAACGCACCCTGGTCGGAAGAGGACTGCGCTCTGGAGCGGGAAGGACTCATAGCGTCTATGATTAAAGAGCACTACGGTCCCGAGAAGGGGCCACCGTACTTAGCATGCTCTCCGCCGTCCTATGAGGCTGTAACAAGGGATCCTAGTGACCATTTCAAGATGTTAATACCTGACTCTCAATCTAGTGAGCCTCCTAAATCAGAAGAGACGTATGACGAGACCTTTCTTTAGGAACTCTTTTCTAAGTCTAATCTAAATCTAATCAGGAGGAATTCAAATGCAAACAAGTTTTCACTTTTTTAATGTCAGAAAAAGTTTGGACAACCTGTTGTTTTTGTCATAAAATATGGCATGGTATCATGGCGGAGCTGACAAAAATAAATGGATATATCAACATGAGGATGTACACGCTAACCTTTCGCTCAGATGTGTTGCACATATCACAATTGTAATATATTGCACAGATGTTATTTTGGTTGTTTCCTATAAAGCTCAACAGGCCACATAGAGTTTTTCCCAGAGTTTTCCATTGCTCAGGACTAAGTGAGGAATTGTATCACTTTTTTTTTTACACTTGATGAGAGTAACTGTGATTTATAGTATAGTATATATATACTAAATGCAGTTCGAAAGACTATTTCCTCTTACAAAGTGAGTGATTTTGCATTTTTATCAGTGTTTCTTGTTGAAAACAGGCAGGAAGTGTTTAAAAATGCTTTAAAATCAATGTGAAATCAAAATGGACTGTTTAAGTAAACACATGTAGATGCTCCTGATTTTATTATGCACATTCTGCACGTTATTCCAAAGAAAGAATCTATGTAATCTTTCATCAAAATGAAACAACTTTCCTGGCTGATGACATGTATTTTTCAACCCCTTCTCTCCAACAGCTTTTGACATGCAATGCCCACTATTAATGATTCAATGAATTCCCAATAGATAAAAAATCCAGTATTGCCTAAATTGGGTTAAATATTCTGTTTCACTTATCTTAAAGCAGTAAAATGGGTTTCATGTTGACTTTACTGAAATAAAATGGATATACAACTATACAAAATTTGAATCAACTGAAATTACCTTCAGCTCTTATGTTTTATTCAAGGGCTTTTTTTCTCAATATATTGCACATTGAAATACTTTAGACTGGATCATTGAAGATTTTCAGAGTGTCCTAATTACTGGAAACATGCATATGTATGTTAGAATAATATGACTGATATTTGTGCTTATAGAATAGACTTTTTAATCATATAACCTCACCACTGTTTTCAGTCAGGAATACGAACTCACATGCATCAAATGCGTTTCTGTGACATTTAAAACTACATATATTTACAATATGTACACAAGCAAATGAGAAGAACAGTACAGATGTATCATCAACATCCATATACAGGTATATCAAAATCTGTGTTCAACAAGATATTCTACTCCAAATTTTTTCTCTCTGTTGTATTTAATTTTAAAGGGGTCATATGATGCTATTTTAAAGATCATTATTTTGTGTATTTGGTGTAACAGAATATGCTGACATGCTTTAATGTTCAAAAACACATTATTTTTCAAATACTGTACATTATTGTACCTTTTAGGGTACAATACATTACATTATTACCTCTAGAGGTCTGCACGGGCTTTAAATTGAAGTCCGAACCCGGCCCGTACCCGAGATCGTCTGACCCGTGTGAACCTGCGTCTGCGTGTCTCTCTCTACAAGCAATGAGGCTTAGTTACTTCAAAAACAGTGAATTTACCCCCTCATTGCAGAGAAATATAACGTTGCGTGTCAGTAGCCTGTCGAAGCTATTTTACTAATAAAAGTTTCCATGCTGTGTTGTCATTGTCGTGTGGAATAATGTGTGCGTGCTATATGAAAGCAGCATAGATTGCATATAGTTTTAGTTTAGTTATATACACCCGAGCCCGACCCGAACCCGAAGCTATTCATTAAACATTAACCCGAACCTGACCCAAAAGTATTTCGGGACCCGTCGTGCTCTGGGTCGGGTAGCAGACCTCTAAGTAACGCCCCTTTCTATAATCGCGAGCTTCAGCTTTCAACATAAATGTAAAGACGGTACATAATGTGCTTAGTTTTACCATCAGTTCAAGCCCGAAAGGGGAACAGAGTCACGTGACAGACACAGTGATGATGCTGGTATGTGTTTGCAGTACACAAGCCACGGTTAAGACAGCTGACTCCACTGTGATGTGACCCTGTCTCTCTCTCACACACACACACACACACACACACGACGCTATACGGTAGACATGTGGGGGCGTGTTTGAACCCCCGGTCTGGATCAGCCTTCTCTTTTAGATAGAATAAATCCTTTTGTGGGAGACTTTGAGCTTTGTAACTCTGCAGATCTTATACATGCACAAATAGCTACATAACACACTAAAGAAAAGGGAAAAAATCGCATCATATGACCCCTTTAAAGGGCATTTATGGAACTTGAAACACAATAAAAAAAATTCTCATGGGTACATTTTAAAAGTTCCTAATGGACTGATGGGTGGATGACAATCACACATTTGCGATCTAATTTTGTCATGTTACATAGACACAAAATGCATCAATTGAATGCCAAGAATGATATAATTAGCAAGAATGACATTGTTTGACGAATGCAGTTTTCTTCCCTGTGACACTTCCTATATTGAAACAGGATGCTGTGGCATGACTATCAAATGTTTTGAGTTTTAAATAGCCATAGTTTAGTCATAAATAGTTTGTCACAGATGTGAACTATGATTTGTTACTTTAGTAGTTAGAAGAGACATTGTTATTTTAGAGTGCATTTTAATGCATATTGTATACATTTTTATACAGTCTAGCAAACAAAAGTATCCTCAATATTTTTGTGCATTTTGCTAGAAGAGAAAGGTTGAAAAGTAAATCTGTTTTTTAATAGTTTATTTTGTTAGTTTCTAGGAGTAGGGAAGTATGTAGACTCAGAATAAAAATGAAAAATGCAACTTTTTATCAACAATTCTGACTTTTTTTCTTGTGAGTTTACATCACAATTATAAGTTTACATATGAGAAAAAACTCAAAGAATTGCAAGGGAAAAAAGTCAATTGTGAGATAAAAGGCTGCAATTTATGCTGTGGTGGAAACAAAAAACAGAATTGCGAGATGTAAACTAAGAAAGAAGAAAGTTCAAATTGTGAGAGATAAACTTGCAATTGTGATTTCGAATTGTGAGGTAAAAAGACGCTTTTATTTTTATTTTTTTTAATTCCATGGCAGAAATAAGCCATATTACCGTACATGGCTTATTTAACAATCACAGACTAAAATTCTCATTTTGATTTCATGGGGTTATTGAGCTAAAAAGTTCATGTTTTATTACATTTATTTTGTAGTTTCTTAGTATTAATTATTCAAACCAAGTCGTCGTTGCAGGGGTTATCTCTTCAGTTCATCAGCTGAACATTGAAGACCTGGGTCGGTAATAAGCTGCTGTCTGCCTTCTGAACATTAAAGGGGTCATATGATGCGATTTCAAGTTTTCCTTTCTCTTTGGAGTGTTACAAGCTATCTTTTAAAAAGCATCATATGACCCCTTTAAACACCAGTTTAACTAGCTTTTCTTTAGTGGGAACAAAAAAAGGTGCTTCAAACAGCGGGGCTGTTTTTGTTGATTTTGTAACGGTGTGCATGGATTTGTGCTCTCAGCTCTTGTTTAGGGAGCCAATTTGGCTTTGTCCACTGGGAGTTTGCCCTTTCTCCAGCCCAGGGTGAGGGTGTTCAAATCCTCCAGACCAGCTGGACCTCCAGGATAATCCCAGTGGAAAATAATCACTTGTTTTAATTACACACAGATGCTCTCAAACTTCAGTTCGCTCAGTCACAGACCTTAAAACTGCTACCTTTTACAAATGCAGTTGCCTTTTCCATTTTGGAAAGGTGAGGTTTTAAGTGTTTATTTTTAAAAGATTTTTACATTCTATTGGAAAAATTATATCTTAAAGTGCTTTTAAAAAAAATAATAATGTTGGGAAATTTTTAACATATGATGGGATGATTGTGATGTCTGGAACTTCTTGAACCAAAATGGCACCTTTGCTTTTTTTTTTTTTTCTGTTTATTTTATGTGATGGCCAGAATATTAAGCACGAAGGAACTCATTTTTAATATTTTTAACTTTGAATTTCAGTGACTGTGTAAAATTGTCCATGGTTTCTCATCCTAGCATCCCCAAACAAATACCAGATTTTTTTCTCTGGATTATTACTTTTTTTTTTGATTGGCTTGTACTTTACTATTCTAGTTGTATATTTTTAAAATTTTGTGCTTCTCCATTCAGTTTCTGCACATGCTTTCATTTTAATTCTTTGCGTCTCTGGATCGCTTGAAAGAAATCCACTTTAATGAATGTGCTGCGTAATTGATCTGATGTTTAAACATCTGAACATGTGGCTGGGATTAAGCTCGACTACAGGAAACCCATTATTACAGATTAAAATGCACTAAAACTAATTACATACACAAGCACATGCTTCTGTTATCTTCTATAAAAAAAGTTCTTAAAAGTAAATAAAACAGAAAGTGCTTTGCTATTTTTGAGTGCAAAACCCCCCCCGCAATCAATGAGTAAATGTGATTAGTGCTAGATTAGTCAGTCCCAGATTTTTTTGCTTGGCTTGTACTTTACTATTCTAGTTGTATATTTTTTAAATTTTGTGCTTCTCCATTCAGTTTCTGCACATGCTTTCATTTTAATTCTTTGCGTCTCTGGATCGCTTGAAAGAAATCCACTTTAATGAATGTGCTGCGTAATTGATCTGATGTTTAAACATCTGAACATGTGGCTGGAATTAAGCTCGACTACAGGAAACCCATTATTACAGATTAAAATGCACTAAAACTAATTACATACACAAGCACATGCTTCTGTTATCTTCTATAAAAAAAGTTCTTAAAAGTAAATAAAACAGAAAGTGCTTTGCTATTTTTGAGTGCAAAACCCCCCCCGCAATCAATGAGTAAATGTGATTAGTGCTAGATTAGTCAGTCCCAGAGGAGTGACTGATGAAGTTTGTTCACTTCCTGGATTTAAGGATGTGAACACTCTTAATCAGGATACATGTGTTTGTGTTCCCGTTGCCATGGTCACCCTGTGCTAATGATGGAAAAGCTCCACTTGATTGGTCTCACCTTCTGATTAAGTTAGAAAAAAAACAAAAAAAACAATAGAAACTACAAATAACAAGTCAAACCCTGTATACACACACACACACACACACATATCTGTATATACTACTTGGAACATATTACTACTTACATTTATATACAGTGGGTACGGAAAATATTCAGACCCCCTTAAATTTTTCACTCTTTGTTATATTGCAGCCATTTGCTAAAATCACTTAAGTTAATTTTTTTTCCTCATTAATGTACACACATCACCCCATATTGACAGAAAAACACAGAATTGTTGACATTTTTGCAGATTTATTAAAAAAGAAAAACTGAAATATCAGTATATATATACTAAAACTAAAGCACTACATCCACTGAAGAGGAGAAATATTGATTGAGCCAGGGTTAAAGCCATTAGACTCCTTTCAAATAAGATAATACTCATAAAGAA